GTATCTGCTCAAAACGGGGTTTGTTCGAGTAGGTATAACCGTGGTTTTGCAACAATGGTCGAGTCGAGTTTTACGGTCGAGTTATTACAATGGATCCTAGCGCCGCGAATCTAACCATGCCAAAAATTGTAATAACAAAATTGACAAATTGAGATAACAAAACTACTGTGGCGATTTCTCTGGAGTAAATTACCTCTAATGTTAAAATACATTCTAATAATCTCTCGACAGGTACTTTGAATCAATATTTTAATATCAAGTTCCAGCGTTAAAAAAAACGTACCATGCTTCCAACGTTCTTGAAGCCTCCTGAAGACACAAAACCTTTTGGGATTTGTGGTAGATATACAAATAAAGGTGCTCACGAACAAAATTGAAGTCAAATGTTTTCAAAAATTGGAACGAAACTGCGAATAAGGACAAATATCAAGTCAAAACTTATTTCGATTCATCGTGTTATTTTTAGGAATTCTAACATTGGAAGTAATTAACTTTCAAAAAAGTATCTTTGTTTTCTGGTCGTTTATCCCGGACAGTCTGTTCACTGTCCAGTTTTTACCACTTATTTTAATGGTCCAGCGTAATATCCCCTCGTGTTGCTGCGAAACCACAGCTTAAAGGGTTTGTAATGACGATTGGTTGCTTTTAATTAAATTAACAGTTCTATGTAAATCTTGAATATTGTTTTTGTAATTGTATAAAAAAATGTACAGCATATTTATAATATACGTCAGTAATGCTAGAATTTAAGCACGTTCCGGGTAGACTTATGACGCCAGTGACAAGAATTCATAAGTCTCCGCGCGTTATTTTTTAAAATCTGTTTTATTTCATGTTATTGTATTAATGTTAACTTGCACCACACATTTACACTATATATTTGTAAAGATTTGTAAAAACAAGTAAACTACGTTTGTATCACGGGGAGAATTAATGTTACTTCCCAGTATTCAATAATGAAGCAGCGTCACCCCTGTTATGTGACTGTGACTTGATCGATATGCTAGTCACGATGTACTAGTGCACGGTGATGTCTCAACACGTTTTCCGGTTATGAGAGACACTTACATGTAGATCACAAATAGGCATTATGGTTTCAATCCGACGAGTGCCTTGAATTAATATTAATAATGTGTATTTTGTTGCGTATATCCTATTAATGTCACGATTATCAAATGATGCATAGAGGATAAAAACCAGCGATGTGTATCGCAGTATGTAGACACGGCTTTTTTTCATTGAAGTGATATATCAACATAATTGACAAATCGTTAAAGTGCATTATAGGGCGGGGTACGTGATCAAAATGATTATTTTCATGACAAAATTAATTTGTACGCTTGATTTCTATTTGCGTGGGGACTGTTATAGGAGATTGCATTCGTGGTTTGGTGAATGCCTTTTTAATTATGCTACTAGCAACAAAATAAACTTGGAAAGCAATTGCACATGTTGCGTTTCTTCATAATTGTTTGTGTGTGATTTTAATTTTTGTACTGATATGCATGGAGCTAAAACAAGGAGAGACGTTAATGCACGAATCATCGCCTCGCCTCGCATCCCCTCCATACCTAAATAGGTCCCATGTGTTGTATACAATGCGTGTACCTTAATAATTGACACACGACATTCGAACGCATGGAGACTATGGCGCGCTTCAATAGCCATGCCAGGTAACAACCATCTGCCACGTAATTCGAGCAATATCACCGTTTAGTTGAACCGATCCAAGTTCTGATTTTTTTCCTGGAACAAATAGTGACCAATTGCTAGTATTTAAATCGGTCTTATTTGATCTCGCATTACTGAACTTGATAATGGAAGTTCAATCAATAGATGCATGTTCGATTTCAATTACATTCCCTGATTCACAGAGGGAATTGTATTGACATTTTAAAATATGACACATTTACAGTTTATTTTTTTCACTAGATGGAATTATTTTAATTGACAAAAAAAAAACATATTACTGACAAATATCACGAGTATTTCTCATTTAGCAGTTGTCATAGGCAACCATATCAAAAGTCTACCAGTAGACAATATAAAGTATCTTTACTGCGCGTGATCCGATCAATTACGTCACTTGCCGAATGCATACAAGGAATCATACAGTAAAGATACCCCTTTCCTTCCTTCCTGCATCCCTCCCCCCTCCCCCC